TTGTTTGGCCTTCTTTGAAAAGAAAGAGGAGTTATTCAAATGATTGGGGGGGGGGATTCAAATAACTTCTTTACAACAACAACAACCCTGTTATGATTCTACAGAACTGGACATTGGAAACGCTTTGCTGGAAGAGGGAACTGGACCCGTTGCCCCTCAAATTACAGGAAAGTGAGATTCCCTGGCTTCCCCTTTCAACTACCAGTCACACATAATGGGGAACTTTACACAGCTTCAGCTGTTAAGGAAATGATTGAGCTGCTTATAACATAACAATCGAAACTCCCAATGGGCTTCACTGGAGTGGAGTTGATGGAGGAATGAGGAGGAGGAGTCAGGAGGCTGGAACGCTGTTACAGGGAAGAGGACTCCACAGAAATGAGCACTACTCTGATTTACACAGAAGGGAGCTCCTCTTTCCATTAAATCACTTCACCTCCTTCCCATTCAGGAGAAATGAAGCACTGCTTCTCTGTTATGATGCCTTTACTTGCTGTAATATGATACACACACACACACAATATTTTTAAAAATAATAATGATAAGTAAGCTGACTAGACAGTTATACCTTTTGTACCACATGACTTAAGGAGTTTGATCTGATTCTTAGACTACAAAATTCAAGCATGACTCGTTTGGGTGACTAAGAACAGAATGCAAAATTGGATGAAATATGTGCTTGCTTGGTTATCACCAATTCAGTCCAATGGGCACAAGGCAAATAGACGACAACTGGAAAGACTAGGGAAATCTGACTTGCCGAAACTGGAATCACCAGGTGCAAGGGACAGGTGCAATCCAATGACATCCTTGAGTCTGTGCCATTACTTCCTCCAGTATAAATGAATAACTCAGATTAAAAAAAAATACATTTATTGTGGCCAATAGGAGGAATACATTTATTTCTAAAACTTGCACATCACCCTTCATTCACAATTCCAGGACAGCCTGCAAATAGGACAGAAAAACCCACCCAAGCAACTAAAACAATTTAAACCTGAAAGCCTGACAGCCAAAAGTAGCAGGGTTGTCGTGAGGCAGGCTTCCCTGGGGAGAGAATGTCGCAATCTGGGTGCCCCCACTGATAAGGAGTTGTCACCTGCTTTACCTTAGACAGAGAAAGCACTTGGAGGAGACCCTCCTAGGTGACCTCAATATACTGTACAAGTAGGCAGGTATAAAGAATGTGATAATTATCGTACAATCCACAAGTGTGTATTGCTTTGGTGAGATGGAGGGAGATTTTATTGTTCCAATATAAGCTGAAGGTTTTATGGGTTTGAATAAAAGAATGCGCAAATATGTGGGTGAGTTAAATGCTTAATTTTCTTTTTCAACCACATGTAGAGGTTAGGAATGGGGCAGCGTTGTTTTCAAAAAAGCATAAATATTTCTAGTTGCTTTGTGAGTCTCAGAATCTAATGGAATGAAGGTTGAGAGTTTGTTCCTATTCTTATCAGCCTCTGGCATTAAAAGCAGGAATTTACCTGATGTTTATTACCCTGACCCTGCTGGTATCACATAAAAAGAAACCTTCAAAGTTCGAGATGCATTCCTCAAAGAATTAGAAAGAAGGTTATTTGTAAGGTTGCACCAAATTGTTTTCAGAAATCTGAGAAGTGAAAGGGAGACCGTTTAAAAAAGACCTTTACATAATTACAGTGGTACCTCGGGTTAAGAACTTAATTCATTCCGGAGGTCCGTTCTTAACCTGAAACTGTTCTTAACCTGAGGTACCACTTTAGCTAATGGGGTCTCCCGCTGCCGCTGCACGATTTCTGTTCTCATCCTGAAGCAAAGTTCTTAATCCGAGGTACTATTTCTGGGTTAGTGGAGTCTGTAAGCTGAAGCGTCTGTAACCTGAAGCGTATGTAACCCGAGGTACCACTGTATTCCCAATCTCATGTTTCTCACTCTACTGTTTCTTCAGTACTATTTCCCCATCTGCAAGAGTGGTACTAATTTACCATAATTGTGTAGGGATTACAAGACGTTCTTTGAGAGCTGTAGTTGCCAATGTCTTTGGTCAATTTCATCACTGATGTCAATTTTCTTTATATACCACCTTTACATAAGAAGCTGCCGTATACTGAGTCAAACCACCGCTTCATATCCCTTCTCTGTCTGCAGAGAGGGATATCCTTAAAAACCCATAGCCCCTGGGATATGCTCCCCAGGACCATAGGACTGCATTTTAGCCGACATTATTAGGGAAACAATGAATATATAATACGGGGAAAACATAAATATCAAAACATTAGATAATAGCAATGCATTCATCTAGGACTGACCAACATGGTACCCTCCAGATGTTAAGGTAAAGGTAAAGGGATCCCTGACCATTAGGTCCAGTCGTGGCCGACTCTGGGGTTGCGGTGCTCATCTCGCTTTATTGACCGAGGGAGCCGGCATACAGCTTCTGGGTCATGTGGCCAGCATGACTAAGTCACTTCTGGCGAACCAGAGCAGCTCATGGTAACGCCGTTTACCTTCCCGCCGGAGCGGTACCTATTTATCTGCTTGCACTTTGACGTGCTTTCGAACTGCTAGGTTGGCAGGAGCAGGGACCGAGCAATGGGAGCTCACCCTGTCACGGGGATTCAAACCGCCAACCTTCTGATCGGCAAGTCCGGACTCCAATTCCCATCAGCCCCAGCCAGCAGGGGCAAATGGTAAAGGATAATGGGAGTTGTTGTTGACCTCCATCCATCTCGAGAGACAATGGAGTGCGCCTCCGAGTGTGAAGTAAAATCACAGTGCCTGTTGTGGCTGCAGAGACTGGTAAGTTGTAACTGCTGCCTCTCAAATTGCTTTTGCTGCATTAGTCATCGGGGATTCTGTCAGGTTTACTCCTTAGCCTTTTCTTCTCCCAAAGGTATATCACAAGGCAGCAGGATGGGAGTTGTAGCAATAGCTGAAGGACACCATTTTGGCTACCATCACAGGGGTGTATCCAACTAAGTTCTACATAGAGTTTCCATGCACCCCCTGTTTCCGTCACGATGTCCCACTGTGCCAGAAGCAGTTTAGTCATGCTGGCCACATGACCTGGAAAGCTGTCTATGGACAAACACTGGCTCCCTCAGCCTAAAAGCGAGATAAGTGCCACAACCCCATAGTCACCTTTGACTGGGCTCAACTGTCATGGGGTCCTTTACCTTTACCTTTTACATAGAGTAGTCACATTGAAATTAGTGGATCTAAAAAAGACCCTGATGTTGGGAAAGTTTGAGGGCACAAGGAGAAAGGGACGACAGAGGACGAGATTGTTAGACAGTGTTCTCGAAGCTACCAGCATGAGTCTGACCAAGCTGCGGGAGGCAGTGGAAGACAGAAGTGCCTGGCGTGCTCTGGTCCATGGGGTCATGAAGAGTCGGACACGACTAAATGACTAAACAAAAACAAGTTAGCCTTATACCAAGTCAGATTGTTGGTTCATCTAGCTCAGTGTTTTATCTACACAAACTGGAGAACTTCATTTTGTGGGGATAGAACAGAAATGCAATGAATATGTAAGCAAATGATTATGGAAACAAAATGTGGACTGCCATAAGCAAGAATGCAAATGCATCTAGATAGCATTACTGCTTTTTAAAATGGATACCGTGTGGTTTGGGATTTGGCCTAATAATTCTGCTCCAGGAAAACAGTCTGGGTAATGTTAGATACTGCACTATGATACAATATTTTAAGCAATATCCCACTGTCTTTCAGAAGCATTCTATTATTTTAATATGCTCATTCTCCACTGTCTAATACTGCTATACCTGGAAAAAAGTGCTTCTTGTACATCATTTATATGCAGAATTTATTTGAAAAATTTATTGCTCTCATTAAGAGCCACAATGAAAGCATGCACTTTTATCTGTGTTTCCTAATTAATAGGAACGGCAGATGTATTACACTATTCTGATGAAGCCCTACTAGATTTTACAGCTTGTAATCACAGCAACCAGGAATTAACATCGTTAGCTACCCATGAATTATGCTTACATTCTCCCAAGATACAATTTCACCTCTCGTTTTACCCCCTAGATAAAAATACCCAAGAGCCACTGAATGATTTATCGCTCAGGAAGTATCAAACCGTGCTTCCTTCTTTTCTACTTTGGACCACAGCTCATTTTCCAATAGCAATGCAATGTATTTTAAATTTCCCTTTGCTGAACACTGTTATCTGGCCTCAATTCCACGAAAATGCATACGTGAAGTCCATCTGGTCCAGCCTTTGCTGACCTGGAGGACTACAACTCCCATCATCCATGGTCAGTACAGCTGTGCTGGCTGTGGCCGATGGGAGTTGTAGTCCAAAATGCCTGGAGTGCTCCAGGTTGGCAATGGCTGATTTTATCCCATACTCCGCCTCGCAACAATGGCTAGCCAGATTCCAGATTCCTCTAGGAAACTCACAAGCAGGGCAGGGTATTATATATCTATATCTATATCATCTGTATTAGCTATAAGAATAGCTATCATCTATCTATCTACCTGAAGCTGGAAAACAGCTAGGAGACAATCTTTTCATTAATCCATATTAACTAGTTTCTGGCACCCCTACTTATTTTTCCCAGGTTCTCAATAAAGTCTCAGGCAGCCTGACAACTTGGAGTCCCTTTCCCACTCATTCCTGTCTTGTTCATCTAATCTAAATCACAAGCCTTTTCACACAAGCTGTGTCATAGGTATTATTTTCCAAGCACCTGGCAGAGAACTAATTTCAGTTGATTTAGACTGACATTATAAAGACCATCTTTGGACCGAGCTGGTAGCGGATCACAGATGAAACAGTGGAGACACCCCCATCGCTCCTAATTCGCAGTTCTGAATGGTGCGAAGCGAGTAAGCAGTAAGCAGAGTCACAGAGTACATTCTGATCCTAAATATTTTTGTCAGCATGCCTGCCCCTGCCCTGCTGGGCTGTGATTGGTTGATTCCATGTTGCACATATTATTCATGAGGCAATTTGCATCTTGCACTGAAGGCTCTCACACTTCTCTTTGCCCTGCCTGACAGGGGGGCAAACTCTTGGAGCACTGTATATGTTTCCAGCCTCAAGTTCATTAAGAGCTAGAAACTTCAGCCACTCTTCTGGAGTGGGATGGGGTGGTGAATTGAATTTGTACAGGTAGGTTCAGGACTGGACATTTGCTAACTAATCTTTCTTTCCTTCTTAATTTCTCTGAGAACAAGAAAGTCTCCAATAAGGTCATAACAGCTGGCAAGACACGAACTGGGAGTGAAAGCTGATCTGTTGAGAAGGGAGCTTATTTTGAATAGCCTTTTGAAATGTGCTTAATCTCTACAGTGTTGGTTAACCCCTTCAGACGTGTCTCGCTTTGTGGTTATATGTAGCAGGGCTGTGTTCACATTCAAAGGAGCATGCATAATCCAGCAGGTTGCAGCGATATCAAGTTCAGCAGGGGGCAGTCTTTGCTTTGAATCGGCATCTGTTCTTTCAGTCTGATGCTCCAGAGTTTTCCACAGCAGGATCCAAAATCTTTCATGTGACGGCAAAAGAAAGGTTTGAAGCACTGGTGGTTCTTAAACAGTCCTATCATGCCATCATTTGCAAAGGGAGGATTGTTAACCCTTGCTCACTAGGTAGACCTCATGCCATATAACAGCCATTTGCCTTGTCCGTTTCAAGACAGCCTTGCCTTTTTAATTTCTGAATTGCTAGGCAACACTGCTTCACACTTTGACACTGACTTTTGGACCCCTTACTGTACCAAACCAATGGCTTCAAGTTCCAAGAAAGGAGGGTTTGACTAAACATCAGGGAGAACTTTCTGACAGTTAGTGTTGTTTGATGGTGGAACGGACTCCCTCAGAAGGTAGTGGACTCTCCTTCCTTGGAGGTTTTTAAGCAGAGGCTGAATGACCATATGTGATGGATGATTTAGTTAAGATTCCTGGGAGTTGGACTAGATGACCCTTGGGGTCCCTTCCAACTCTACAATTCTATGATTCTGTGAGGATATCCATTTCAGATGCCCGTAGAAAACTACTAGGACGAAACACACTGGCTTTCCTTTTCAAAGAGGTCCTGCAAACTTGGCCTTAGGTACAGAGGAAGCTGCCATTTACTGAGTCAACTCAACAGTCCATCTAAATCAGCCTTTCTCAACCTGTGGGTCCCCAGATGTTGTTGAACTACAACTCCCATCACGCCTAGCTAGCAAGGCCAGAGCTCAGAGATGATGGGAGTTGTAGTCCAACAACATCTGGGGAGCCACAGGTTGAGAACCGCTGATCTAAATCAAAACTGTCTACACTGACTAGCATGGCAAGAGCTCTACAGGGTTTCAGAGTTTCAGAAAGCCTTTCCCAGCCCTACTCAGAGACTCGAGGGATTGAGCCTCAGAGGTTCTGCATGCAAAGCAGATGTTTTGCCACTAAGATAATTTCATGGCTCAGCCTTGCAGGCAGATTCTTTCCTCCTTATCTGTGGCCCTTTAAGATTGTTCATCTTCAAGAAAGTTAAGGGGCAATATTTGGTCCCAGCCCTGAAGATGATGGTGATGTTGTTGTTGTAATGTTTTCATTAAATTTTTACTGAAACTTTTTCATCATACAATACAACAACAACAACAACAACAAAAACTAATCTAAAGGAATAAATAAATAAATAAGGATGAAGTGAATACAAAGCCCTCTCTTGAAAGTAGATCTGAATGCTTGTCCTACACAGAAAGAGGTGAACCCTCTCAGCTCTCACCTGGGAGCTCCCCTTTCTTCTCCCAGTCTCCCACCCTGGGTTCCCTTCCCTGCCTCTCACACAGGGCACCCAGTCCTAATTGAAGTATTTTCCTTCACAGAGACAGTACCAGCCCTACCATTAGGCATCTACTTCAGTTGGTGGATGCTGGGAGGTGCTTCTCCTGAGCTTCTCCAAGCACTCATCTCTGTTGAAGGACAGAGCTGTGGGACACTCAGGCCTACACTAGCCTCAGGGAGAGTGGAGGATATTGCCAGTCTACTTGACTTTTGTACACAGAAGGGGGAAAGGGCACCATCTTGTCTTTGCCTCAGGTAGTAAAATATCTTGAGCCAGCCCTGTCTGGGGAGATAATTTTAAAAGTTTCAACTTTAACTCTTCTCAGACCCAAATATAGTGAACAAACTGTTAATAACAATACAGAGAAAAGGGACAGGAATGTTGGGTCACAGTTAGTATCAAACCTTGCATTGCAGATTTGAATGCTGGATTTGCCCTTCTCACTCCTCACTGTTTGCTATCTTCACGCCAACACATAATTCAGGCTAAATATTTGTGGTTCGTTATTATTCAGGTGTTTGCTTCGATGCTGAAGTTCTAAAATGATATAAACTGACAGAAGTGAGGGTTTAAGCTATCAAATTCTTCCATCAAATGCATCCTAGCAAAGCACCTGTGAAGAAAAGAAATATGTTTCCAAAGAAGGAATTTCAAATAAAGGAATCTAGCAGGGATAGCAGGGATGTTAATACAACTCAACACTCAGGTTGCTGACTTCTCTAGAGACTTACACAGGATTCTACAGAGCCAATTCACCTCAGGAATTCTGTGATAGTTTGGCTCACTATCTTACTCATGTGAACATAGTTACATAATTGTGCAGTCCTCGCTAGAGTGGCTAACCATGTGGAAAAAAATCTAGTCATCTTTTTCTCTATGGTTTCACTCAATGTACTGGCACAAAATGTCATTAATCTCCCTATGTAGAGCAACCATATATGCAAGGGAAGAGGCTATGGAAATGGAAGCCTTAACTTCTGCCTCACTGCTAACCATATTTGAGGGGATATGCTTCTCCAACCTTTTTTTTTTTTTTAGCCATGTTGTTGTTTGTTGTTGTTTAGTCGTTTAATCGTGTCCAACTCTTCATGACCCCATGGACCAGAGCACGCCAGGCACTCCTGTCTTCCACTGCCTCCTGCAGTTTGGTCAGACTCATGTTTGTAGCTTCGAGAACACCGTCCAACCATCTCGTCCTCTGTCGTCCCCTTCTCCTTGTGCCCTCCATCTTTCCCATCATCAGGGACTTTTCCAGGGAATCTTCTCTTCTCATGAGGTGGCCAAAGTACTGGAGTCTCAGCTTCAGGATCTGTCCTTCCAGTGAGCACTCAGGGCTGATTTCCTTAAGAATGGAGAGATTTGATCTTCTTGCAGTCCATGCAACTCTCAAGAGTCTCCTCCAGCACCATAATTCAAAGGCATCAATTCTTTGGCAATCAGCCTTCTTTATGGTCCAGCTCTCACTTCCATACATCACTACTGGGAAAACCATAGCTTTAACTATACGGACCTTTGTTGGCAAGGTGATGTCTCTGCTTTTTAAGATACTGTCTAGGTTTTTAGACATAGTCAACAACAAATATCCCACAAGATTCATCTAGCATAAACAACACACATGGCACTATTATACTTCATTCCCCATCTCAGGACCTAAAAACATGGTCACCTTACCCTAATTCTAAGTTACTTGGAGAGGGTAATCAACACTGCCCATTAGGGACGGGGGGGGAGAAATTTGACTCAATTTGCATTTAAAGGTGGACCTACCAGGTCTGTACTTTCTGGAAAAAAGATGAACTGAAATACACACCTTTCAAAAACTCACACTTTTTCAGGGCAGTTCTCTAGCAAGGCAATGCATGCAGAAATGTTTATACCAAGGTCAAATGTGCATAAATGTGTATAAAATAGTATACGTTAGAAAACAACATGCACAATTAGGCAAAGTTGCTTTGCAAAATTGCATATATTAAGAGCATCTTGCCCTAAAACGCTGCTGAATTTTCATGGGAGCTTTAAAAAAAAATCCACTCAAACTGATCTGGAAATGTGGAGAAATAAAGATTGGAGAAAAGAGATACTGAGGAAAAACCTGAAATTGGAAGAATCACCCATCCCTACCGCCCTAAAGGGCAATTGGGTCTTCTGGGATAGAAGGTGAAGAAGTCAAAAGGAAAGATCTAATAAAGACGGGTAATATAGGAGAAGAGAAGATGATATAAAGCAGATGTACTCTAACGGAACTTCCACTGCAGTGTAAAATGAAACAGGGAAAATCCTGCATTTGTAGACATGACATAAACTTGGATTTGAACCTTTCTTCCTTTTTTCCACTTGTGTTTTTTTTTTGTAGGCACACTCATTCGAGTAACTAAAAATAGGTTCCTAATCACATTTCAGCACTGTCAGTACCCATTGCCGATGTCACCATCTGTTATTTGTTTTTTAACCCATTACATTGTAAGGCCTGTGCAGTCTGCTTTGTGTCGCACGCTTCCTCTAATCCCATGTCCTTTTGACTCACGCCCAATCCCACTTCGCACATGGCAACGCGAGGTACAAGAACAATGAATACAAAAGCCAAATGAGTATTCTTCTCTCCCTCTCTCGCTCCCCTCGTATCAACTTCTCGTATTGACTCTTTCTCGTATCAGAAAGCTATAAAGGGAAGAGATGGAACTCGCAGTTGACCTCTCAAGTACTTTGAGATTGCTTCATGATTTTGTCCAAATTGCTTAGGAAATAAGGTAGGCAGGATGCTTTTACAAGCTTGTAACCAGCCAATCTCCTGAACTGCTATGGTTAGGTGAGTGGCTTTTGTATAGATACATGTGACTAGGTGACTCTATCACCCTCAAATCTAATTTAAAGCACTACTAACCAAAGATCCGGGACGCGGGTGGTGCTGTGGGTTAAACCACAGAGCCTAGGACTTGCTAATCAGAAGGTCAGCGGTTAGAATCCCAGCAACAGTGTGAGCTCCCATTGCTCGGTCCCTGAGCCTGCCAACCTAGCAGTTCGAAAGCACATCAAAGCGCAAGTAGATAAATAGGTACTGCTCCAGTGGGAAGGTAAATGGCATTTCCGTGCACTGCTCTGGTTCGCCAGAAGCAGCTTAGTCATGCTGGCCACATAACCCAGAAGCTGTACGCCGGCTCCCTTGGCCAATAAAGCGAGATGAGTGCCGCAACCCCAGGGTCGGCCACAACTGGACCTAATGGTCAGGGGTCCCTTTACCTTCACCTTTAACCAAAGATCCCAATGCAAGATTCAACTGAGAGGTGTGCCTAAAACTCTCTTTCTCCCTGGCAGCCTCAAGATCTTGCTTACATTTCTCCACAAGGACAAGCTCAGAGTACCTGAGCTTTCTGCCTTGGGATTCCAGGACTTTGCAGTTGCCTGGGGGGGGGGGCGGAAATCACAGCCAAATTCAGAAACAATGGGATGGCCACTCCCCAAATAATTATTTGCAGTGTTGTTTGCTATTTTACATCTCACTGATGTTGTGTGTGAAGACCGCCAAAACCACCCCCAAATGAAGACACAATAGACACAGATTTTATTTTAAGGTTTTTGGCATTAAATTTTGGGCACAACATTATTGATTACAGCATGTGAGTGGTTGCTTAGGCATTGGTTCCAGACTACCTGAACCTGCACGGTGGCAGGAACAGGACTGACACTGGGCACCACCATATGTCAGTAAGGGAAAGCATCCTGGGGGAGCGAGAACTTCTTCGATCTCACAGCTCACCCCAGATGCTCCCAGGGGATCTGGTGTGGCCCTAGCCCCTTGGCAGGGTTCGGACAAAAGCAAAGCGAGCCCCTGGATTCCTTTAACGGAATTCCCTAGCAGCAGCAATGGAGGGGCAGGCACAGCCAACCATGTCCTCTCCCCAAAACACTGAACCAATGCCTAACAGCCAACCTTAAAAAGTTGTGACGATTTGCTATACGGTAGGCAAAAACCAAGTGGCACCAGCCAATCAGTCAAATGGCAAAATTCCTACCAGGGCCCTGCTTCAAAACAGACGACCCCTAGACAGGCATAGCAAGGCCTTAAGAACAACCCTAAATATAGGGAGAGGAGGGCGGGTGATCCGCTGCACGTCGCAAGAAAGTGAAACTCTCCAGCGACGTGCAGCAGCTTAAGTAGCCCCTCAGCAGCCAATAGCCAACCCAACTGACGAAATTTCTGCCCCAGCAACAGAGGGGCAACCAGTGGGGTGTTGTGGTCATCCAAATGGTCCCGCCCCACAACAGGGAGGCAGTTTCTTGTGATCTCACTGCAACACCATGATGGAGGACCCAATTTATCAAATTGGCACACACAAAAATGCTACATTTTGGAGATGTTACCAAATGTAAGCATTTTCTGTCCTCGTACCCAAACAAGACCCAGGATCAAGGTGGGAGCAGAATCTGATTTAAAGAGGAAAGGAGGGCATGTAGCTAAGGAGGATGAACCCATCACCCATCCTCAGCTTACCTATTTTCTTCCAGGCAGGCTCTCTGCTGACAGTGGATTAAGGCTTCAACTCTTGGAACAGCAAGAGAAGAAGTTTAGAGTGCTGTTGCAGATTTTTTATTGTGTGATCTGCTTTAAAAGCTGCTGCTTGCTTTTAACTGCCAGACATTTTGCTTATTTGTTTGTTTTGCTTATAGCTTGCATGCTGTCACGTGTTTAGGTTGTACTGTACTTATTGTATTTTGTCAAATTTGTGTCAGATTATTATTTATCATCACCATTCTTTTAGAAAGCTATATATGCAGCCTACTTCATAATATTATTCTAAGGATGAAGCTGGTTACAGTAAAGCACAATGGACACTAGAAATCACTGCAGAATCAGCTAATGGCCTGTTTAAGAGGAACAAAATCAGCTTATCCTAACATCACATATTGGCTATGAAATGGCGTTTGTGCTGGGAAGAGTCCTCATGACTTTGTGTATTTTCCCCCGCCAAGTGTGTAAGTTCAAAAGAATCCGAATTGCAATCAAAATGGAAAATTGTGTTGTTTTGATGACCAGCAAATATAGACATATTTCTACTACATTCTGAGTTCAGTGCGTTTATCTGCTGCACTGTAATGAACACTCGGGGGAATGCTTTCATCAACTGAAACCCTAAATTATATTTCCATTTCCTAAGCCATTGGTAAAATTGAAGTTATATACAAAATTCCCCTTGGGGTGAATTTGGGAGTACTTTCTCAGGTAAAACATCCAAGGAATTTTGAACAAAACAAAGTTTCATTAAATAAAATCTGCTATAAGGCTCTGAATAAAAAATTAAAGCAAATTTTGGGATGCCTCCTGAGGCAAAACATATGAGGATTTTTTTTTAGGGAGCTCCTCTGAAACTGGTGACATTTTTCACAAAGTTGGGGTGTGACACACTTCGCCTCATAACATGCTGTGTCTAATTTGTCTCCCTCGCTTTTATTCATTCTCTGATGGGTCGTGTGGTCTGCAGTTTGAGCCTGTGCCAAAATGACAACTAGCCAACCAATTTTTGTTGGTTTTGATGAGTGTTTTGGAATTAACCCATCAGCTAAATAGCCATTCAAGGTGTGAGGCACAAGTAGAGAGAGAGAACTTTCTATTAAGAGATCAGTTTTTCATGTTTGGTATTTGGAGCTTCCAAGGTTTGTATTTTTTTCCTGCTTTCTCCTTTAAAGTATCAGTAACAATAATACATTCTGAGTAACTGAAGGAGGTAAAAGAGGCCTGCAGAAATAAAGCACCAAAGCAATATGCTGACGAGAGCGATTATGCCTTCTGCTCTTCTACCTTGATGCTGTCTCTTGTCATCCGTGGGGGAATGAGCTCTGTGTTCCCTTTTGTTTGTTTACTGTGGGAAAGCACTAGCCATGAATCAATGCAATTTCTTGATCTCCTGGGAAGCACAGAATGCCTTTGTTTCTATGTGCAGTCTTGTCCTTTATACCTGTGAACCAGCATAATTACCGAAGGTCATATCATGTTCAAACGGAACACAGTTTATGAAACCCAGGGACAAAAAAATACAGAAGAGAATGTTTTCTGCAGGTCTGTCTCATCTTGCACTACAATAGAATTAACTAATGGCAAAGAAGAAGAAATCTTTATAAAGCATACAAAGCAACAAAGGAACATAATCCTTGAGAGCTATGAACAGGCTAAAATGGGACGTTCAGACATGAATACTCGTCACTGTAATTTGATGAAGTATTCCGCCTTGTTTAACCGAACACGGGAACCCAGGTCTAGTCTTATTTTTCATTAGTCTAAAATTTATTCCCTGCTTGTTGAATGCCAATTGGCATTCCCAGAGCAGCTTAGAAAGAAGAAAATATACAATAAGCATGAAACGTATCTAAAGCAGCAGCAAAATCATAGTGCGGCAGGGAACAACCTCCAGCCCCTAAACAAAACAAAATTTATTTCAGAGCTGCTTTGAGAAGTCCACTTAGTTTCTTGGTGTGTTGGCACTATGTGCTGGTGATGCCATTCCTCTCCCAAACTGGCACAGTTTCTGGGTGTGGGGGCTTCCTGGTTGGCAGGACTGAATAATAATACTAAGAATAAGAATAAGAATAAGAATTTATTATTTATAGCCCATCCATCTGGCTGGGTTTCCTCAGCCACTCTGGGTGGCTTCCAACAGAGATTAAAAATACATTAAAATGTCACACATTAAAAACTTCCCTAAGCAGGGCTGCCTTCAGATGTCTTCTAAATGTCAGGTAGTTGTTTATCTCTTTGACATCTGATGGGAGGGCGTTCCACAGGGCGGGCACCACTACCGAGAAGGCCCTCTGCCTGGTTCCCTGTAACTTGGCTTCTCGCAGCGAGGGAACTGCCAGAAGGCCCTCAGAGCTGGACCTCAGTGTCCGGGTTGAACAATGGGGGTGGAGACGTTCCTTCAGGTATACTGGGCTGAGGCCATTTAAAGGCTTTAGTCACTTGCCTCGCTGGCCAGGACCAATCATGGGTGGGCTTGGAGGTGGGCTTTTCTTGGGGTGGACTCAATGGAACATACAGGTTTCCCTTGGGTCCTAGGGGATTGAAACCTGCTAGCTCTGATCCTCAGTTTTGTGCTGGAGCTACCCCCTCCCCTTTTTTATAATGTCTTTCATGTTGCATTTTTGACCTTGTTATGGCCTTTGTGGGCCAGGCAGGGGTCATAAGTCATAGGTCCTAGTTCAGGGCCATAGTTCAGTGGGAACTCGATGGAACCTTGGTCTTGTCTGGGTTCTATGTTGCTTTGCAGTACTGTTTCTCCTAAGTGAACACAACTATTGAAGTTCTCCCAACCCCTGAGGCTTTCTGGTATTAGGGAAAGATTTCGTCACACAGTGCGTACCCTTCCCCACCCCACAGGATACTTCCGTCCCTACACACGTACAAAACTTCGACCGAAATGTATTGTTTCTGTGACTTTGTGTACCTATTTAGAAGCCGATCCCATCTAAATCTGCCTATTTACAAGTCAATCCTACACAAATCTCTGTGTATTTATAAAAGCTCGGGCAAGTCACATAATTTATTCAGGAGAGTTGCTAACAGCTTTGCAAGAAAGCTCAAATTGGCAGACTGAATGCCTCTACACAGCAGGTTGATTTTTATTATTTTTTTTAAAAAAGAGTAAAATACAATATCTGTGGGTTTTGCATGCCGCAGAACTGCTATAAGGAAAGAGCGTTGCTGCTTTGCATTATGTACTATTGCCACGAGAAAGTCCTCATTATTTGTGCCGTTTGTGATTAAGCCTTAATTCCAGTGAAATGGGTTACATAACAAGGCCTCACATTATTTGCTAAGCTACCCAGACACTGACCTTCTCACGTACTGTTTGGAAAGCGCACTTCACTCTGTCAGCAAATATCTTCGTGCCGCAATTGCTAATCATCATTTTGGCAAATATGTTCTGTTCTGGTACCTCTGTTGTGAAACAAACTGGGATCAGGAAGGGGTTTTATTTCCGGAAAAGGAACTAATGTTTTTCCACTCATCCTATAGAACATTGCAGCCTGTCAGAAATAGGCACAGTTGGAGTTACCTGTTGTTGCTTCTTCTTCTTTTGCACACTGCTTTGGGATATCTTTAAATATATTAAGTAGCATAGAAATTAAATAATCAAAGCAATCAAACCAAATGTAAGATCAATAGATATATGTATAGACTGATAAATATGGTGGGTATTTCAGTAGTTAGAAATGAAATATTCATTCCCCCTCCACAATTATTCACTTTGTTTGTTTGTTTATTATTGTGATTATTGATATTCTTTTCTGCCCCAGCTACAAAAAATGTTTCGTGTTGTCTCTGGAGCAAATAGCAGTTTTGCATGCTGAGAGACAACTCCTCATTTGAAATCCATTCAAGGTACCGAGCCACATTCACCTTTGGAGTGGGGAAAATTCAGAAGGTGGGATACACACTCCGAAATACCCCCTTGAAATTAATACAGTATATATACAATATTTATTTGTAAGGTGCTTTGATACTCCTTGGGGTAGAATACGAGGAATAAATGCAATAAATGGTACGATTAATACTGTAGGTATTTGAAGGCTGGTTGGGATGCTTGAAACTCTCCACACGGATCAGAGATGCAGCCATGCAGAGAAAGCAACATCTGGCTCAGCCTCACTAAAGGCCACCATTTTACCATGCCACCAAATTCACATAGATGGCTACTTGGAACAGTGTGGGCTTCCTAGGAGGGATATCACTTCTTCCACTTGCTGGCACCCATGGGGATGTGTTTTGTGTAGGGCAGGGATAGCCACTGTGGTGCCCTTCAGATGTTGCTGGACCACAACTCCCATTTTCCCTGAGTTTTGACCATCGGCTGCTCCAAGTACAGAGGGTTTTAGAGTATTTAATTCTAAAGTGGGTTTAAGAATATGTTCTAAGGCAATACAACAACAACAACAACAACAAACTGCTTCCATCTCTTTCTCCTTCTCCCATCTCAAAATATCCCATTTATAAAACACCACTGTTTGCTTTGCCTTTGATTCTGGACTACCAGCTATTAATACTCTCCAGCACTAACTTACCCAGCCCAGTGGCAGCCCCCTCTTCTATGGAAATCATTATCTCCAGCTGAAATATTGTGACAGACGAACAGAAAATGCTGTCTTGCCCCTGCTTAATAGCATTACCCAATCCTCCTCATTTTAGGTTTATTGAGAAGTTTATTTTTATTTTTTTATGCCTCTGCACAATTACAAAAAGAATCTGCTAATGCCTAATGGGACTTAATCTCTCCAACTAAACAAGGGAGCAAAGCAATAAATTCCCCCAAATTGGATTTACCCATGAGAAATAATGAAGGAAAGGCGCATGGGTAGCCCCAGCTATACACCCGGAAGACTTTAGCTTTCCCTGCCACTGAATATATGACATAACAAAGAAGGATATATATGCTCCTTTTTTCTCTCCTTGAAGATAACTGACTGGAATCCAGAAAGCAAGATTTTTGCCACAAGGATTTATTAATCCAGGCAAGTTTAAACATAGCACTGTAGATTACATGGGAGGATGCCCTTCTCCAGCACTTAAAAGATAAGAGGGGAGTGCAACTGCTTCAAAGTGCCTTTTTTTGCTGCTTTCCAAGAAGAGAATTGAACGGAGATTCAGTAATTTGGAGGAAGGCTAAGGATGCTTCCAGACTCTTGCAGTTTTTGAGTGGGATCCAAACACATGCCAGCAAATTCAGGCCATGCAATTAAAGCTGATTGGGAGCTCTTGCACAATCTTTTTGCTTCTCCAAAAGATCTAATTTTATTTTTATTATTATTATTACAATTAGGAAAGTGATGCCTCAAGTGCTAGGCAGTGCTACTCACACCTATGTCCAGGAAGACATGCGGGCATCTGAATGCAAGTTTTGACATTAAGCAGAGGTCTGCATTGCTACTAAATAACTGTTGGTAGTACATAAGAAGGAAATATCTGTGTATTACCCAGCACCAGACCCCCTCCCTACTTGGTTCTGTTTTGTTTTGTTTTTAAACCTAGGTTGGCACAAATATTTTCCTTTCTAGACCTTATCCAAGCTGGCGCAGGGAAGAGGGAGCCATAAAGCAATATCAGTGTCGCTAGGGGATGTGTTATATTAACAGACAAGAAACAGCTTCGGAAAGGAAATATTCTGTTCCACTTAAAGTTTGATACGCCATCTTCTCATTTTGGGGTATTCGTTTTTTATGCTGTACAGTGGTATAAATCATTTTTAATAAATGCATAATCAAATAATTCTGTAGCATAGGAGTAGCAGCATCTGGAAAACTGCTAGCACAAAGCAAATGCCATTTAAATCCAGAATTGAGCTCTTGCACTAAAAAAAAAAAAAAATAGTTTGCAGGACTCTGCCCTGGTGAGTTGAGATTAAGCCCTGTGTCTGACCTGACCTGCCTCTTGCCTGTAAAGTCCCCACCCCCTTTTAATCTGAGGATTCTGGAAGTGTCCCATCATGCTGATGCTGTAAATCAGGAGTGAGGAATCTGTAGCCCTCCAGAGCTTGTAGGACTACAACTTCCATCATCCCTGGCCAAGCTGGCTGGGACTGATGGGAGCTGGAGTTCAACAGCCCCTGAAGAGCCTTAGGTTCCCTGCCTGCTCTAAATCACCCATTTCTGGAGAGTTTCGCCCTGTAAAATACCCTACAACATTTCCTTGATAAAAATAAAGGTAAAGGTAAAGGGACCCCTGACCATTAGGTCCAGTCGTGACCGACTCTGGGGTTGCGGCGCTCATCTCGCTTTATTGGCTAAGGGAGCCGGCGTACAGTTTCCGGGTCATGTGGCCAGCATGACTAAGCCGCTTCTGGCGAACCAGAGCAGCACACGGAGACGCCGTTTACCTTCCCGCCGGGAAGGTATCTACTTGCACTTTGACGTGCTTTCGAACTCCTAGGTGGGCAGGAGCAGGGACCGAGCAATGGGTCACCCAGTCGCGGGGATTCGAACCGCCGACCTTCTGATCGGCAAGTCCTAGGCTCTGTGGTTTAACCCACAGCGCCAGCCGCGTCCCGCGTTGATAAAAATAGGGACGTTCTATTCCATCATCACCATCATTTTATTATTTATACCCCATCCATCAGACTGGGTTGACCCAGCAACTCTGGGCAGCTTCCAACATATATAAAAACCATAATAAAACAGCAAACTTAAAAAAACTTCCCAATGCAGGGTTGCCTTCAGATGTCATCTAAAGGTACATAGTTACATCTCTTCTTGTCTCAGGGGTTGCATAACTCCCTACCCTCCAGCATTTCTCTGATTAAATGGGGACATCCTACCATACCCTTCAGGGATGTGGGTGGTGCTGTGGGTTAAACCACAGAGCCTCTTGGGCTTGCCGATCAGAAGGTTGGCGGTTCGAATCCCCGCAACGGGGTGAGCTCCTGTTGCTTGGTGCCTGCTCCTGCCAACCTAGCAGTTCAAAAGCACGTCAAAGTGCAAGTAGATAAATAGGTACCACTCTGGCGGGAAGGTAAATGGCGTTTCTGTGTGCTGCTGTGGTTCGCCAGAAGCAGCTTAGTCATGCTGGCCACATGACCCGGAAGCTGTACGCCGGCTCCCTTGGCCAATAAAGTGAGATGAGCGCCGCAACCCCAGAGTCGGTCACGACTCGACCTAATGGTCAGGGTTTCCTTTACCTTTACCTTTACCATACACTTCAACATTTCTCTGATGAAAATAGGGATTCCCTAAAGAAAAGCAGGACATTCCAGGGTCACATCAGAAAAACTGGGACGGCTTCTGTGAATCCAGGATGGTCCCTAGAAAATAGGGACACTTGGAGGGTCTGCTTTTAGCCTTATTCTGACGCTTCTTGCTGAATATTTTAAGGTTTAATTAAAAAAGAATCAAAACGATTTCTTTCACATGATCTCATTCCTCTCCCACACACCGCCTCGTCATTTAAAAATATGTATCTCCCCCACCACCTACCATGCTATCAGCAAATCATGTGCTACCCAAGAGAGGTACTGTTACATAATTACACACAACACACACACAAGAGGGAGGGAGGGAAGGAGGAAGAGAGAGACTGACTATTGTGGTGTTATAATTAAAGCCACAGATGTTGTGGTATTATGGCAAACCCCACACAGATTCTGCCCGCCCCAACTTTATTTACAGCATTGCCAATCTGTAACCCTGCCGCATTGCTAGTGCTTCCAGCGCCCAGGCAAACATCGTGTCATCATTAAGCATTTAGAGCAAACCAGCAACGATTAAAGATTTATAAATCTTATTGGGTTACACGGCAAGGCACAAGAACAAGAATAAACCCCGAAGTCAACTTTTATTTTTGTTCCAGAACAACGGCAACACAGAGACATCCTTTATGAACAGAGGGTGCGTGTAGAGCCTCTGGTTGCTTAATTTGGATTTATAATGAAAAAACATTTTGTCTGGGGACATAGGATTCCTAGGAATGATGACTTACCAGTAAACTTCCTTTTATTTTCCTTTTGGTTCTGCTCTGGCTCTCCTTTATATTTAAAACAAAGGTCTGTTGGCTGTGTGTGAGGTATCTAGTGATATGAAAGGTTTGCCTCTGGTATCAGTGATATCAGAATTTACCTAAAATAGTAAATTCCTAGCAATGGCTGTGTGGGTCTTAACTTTATCATTTACTATAAGAAGAAAGCTAAAGACGTATATTGTTGCCCTAAGTACCGATTACAAAGAAAGCTTGTTTTCCACACGTGCCCAATCCTGGCAATATTTTACTTCAAATAAACCTTTGCCCTTGATTGAGGCTGCTTCTTGTAAACCTAGTGTGAATTTTCCAAGGAAGCATGATTAAAAAAAAGAATATTGATGCAGACATGGTGACTGAGGGATAAGGGATATAAAAATCAACACTGCGGGGATGGAAAATTATGTGGAGAGGGTTGATAGTGCCATGCTACTTGTGAAGCCATTGCAAAGTACACAAATGTACTCTATTAAATGTTTTCACTTAGTACAGGAAATTACCGCTCAGCTAATGAGTACAACCACATATAAAACCAAGTCCCAAGGTCACCTGTTCCTCAAATCAAAGTCCCTGTTCACTTATTTCCAGCTCTGTTAAGATCCAGTGTGTGTTTTGACTTTCCTGGTCTTAGGAAAGACTCCCAGGTGGATTTATTTCCTGGGCAATTGCCGAGGATTATGGGATGTGTTCTAGAGCGCACAGCTGAAATGGGCCTGTTGAACCCCATCGTCACAAGGGATGGGATTCACAACCATGTATGTACTCATTTGTTTGTTTTTTTCTCACAGTGACACAGGATAAGCTCAGTTCATTTTGGTCCACAGCTCGTAAAACTGCATGTCAGCTTAGCCTGCTCTCACGCTTTGTAAAAATGATATAGCTGACATTGATTCTGCAGGCTGCGTTGCGAGAACTCCTTGCGCAACAGATTTCTCCACCTGCAGTTCTGCTGCTGTTCACTATTACCCATGGTCATCATGTAACAATTTGCATATCCCCAGGGGTATTATAATTTATCTTGCTGTGTCTTTGTGCAATACAAACAAAGCAACAGTCTCATCTCTTTTAAATTTCACCTGCAATTTCTTCTCCTTATTTTGGTCTTCATGCGAGCAACAAAATGGTAAATAGAATAGGAGAGCAGAGTTAGGTTACTGACTGCTGAGTAGGCATGTGAGGAATGGATTTCTGGCTAACCCAGTAATGTAAATAAATGGTATTATTTTTATTATCAGCTGTTGGAATGTCAATGCCATCGCGGTGAACTGCATGTATTCATGTACAACTTTTACAAAAACAAAAAGAAAAAAGACCCTGAGTTGCCCTTCTCCTCCCCCATCCCACAAATAATGGTAGGAAACAAGATTAAAAACATACCAATGAATGTTAACGGCTACTGTTATTGCCTCAATTAAACAGAGTTAAAGGGAACACACATCAGCAGCACAGCAGATCTGACACTGAAATGGTTTGCCCAATTATAATAGCCTGGATCAATAAGTTGTTTGTCAGTATCAATATTACTTTTCATATTAATCCCAATAGAATTTCATGTAAATCCACTCATACAAGGTGATAGCCAATGTCAGTCATGCTCAGGGAGGACTTACTGAAATCAACAGATTTAAGTAATGTTATGAGTTTGTGGTGTTAAGCTGGGTACCAGTCCCCTCTAATCAATGGATCCAGTGAGGGTTAGAATTTAACCAAGAATTTAACCAACTTCTAATTCCTGGAATAGCCAGGCTAGCCTTTTTGGTGAGGCAATAGTGATGAGCCATTAAAAGGGATTAAGGGGCTCAGTGCAAGATGGCAAAGGGGTGAGGTCCCCTCACTCAACAGAAAAAGGCAGAGTTTGAAGTTGAAAGTGGGGGTGGTGTGAAGCAGCAAGTTGGAGAGTCAGAACAACATTTGAGAGCATTGTTTGATTTCTGTTTGAATCCAAGGCTGCAGCTATGGGAGAAACAAGACCCTTCTGGGATGTTAATGCTGTGAGCCCCTCCATTGCAAGTTCAGATTGTATATATGGGTAAATAAACCTTATATCATAAAGACACCACAGTCTCCGCTGTGCCTCATTTCCAAAAGGAAATCTGAACCCTTGCTAAGCGCTTGGAATCCCTGGAATCTCGCATCACTTGGAGATTGGGGTGATATGCAACAAGAATTTAACTCCATTGATTTTTATGGGCCTAACACTGAGTGTGACTTAGTTGGATATCACCCATTGTTTAATTAGGTTAGGATAAGTTCCAAGATTGGTGCCATTTATCCCTTCACATAGCGTTTTGCCGCTGCTCATTTTGTGCAACCATACCCTTAAGTTATTTCCCTGCAACTCTATTATTAACATATCTTTATCCCCCCAAAAAACCCTCCTGCCTCCGCCTTTTCTTTTCCAAATGTAGTATTTTAATTTTTGTGTGCCTGCTTCTTGAAACTTTCCTTCTGATTAAATAGCAAATGAATAATTCCAAAGTAATTAACATGGATGTTATTGGATGTACACTGATGATTACATTATAGGACTGGTTATCAAAGGATTACAGCTAAGAGGTTTAATATTCTCCAGCTGATCCCGTGGCAAATTAATCTGGCCTGACCTCTAATGTTCTTTGTTATGTCACCAAAGTATCATTTCAGCTGCATCATCCCTTACTCATTTAAATAATAGTGATGATAAAATGAACGTACTCTGAAACTCCAGAATGCTATTTTTAGAGGAAGATGTCATTTTGTGTGTTTGTACTGACTACTGAAAACGCGTGAAATTCTAACAAATCCACTGTTACAAACCCTGGCATTCACAGCAACTGACTCACTATTACAGAAGAGACAGGAGTAGTTCAGAACACCACTGAGGCCATAATGTTCTTCATGAAGCTCAAGAACATAAGGGCAATACATGATGTAGTCCTGCTGCATTATATAGATATGATTCACTTGAAGGAAAGAAAGAGTAGGAATGTTTGGGTATAAGAACATTTTGTGGGTCTCCGCTTCATGAGCGCATGGGCGTTTTCCACAGTAATGGGCAAAATCAAGACACACGGGTTATGTATTTGCATGTTCAGACCCAGAAACCTCCCCTCTAAATAAATTCACACTTGACTCAAATTTTGGCTTTGGTTTTTGGCAGAATTTAGGCCACAACTTTATTGATTACAGAAAGTGACTGGTTGCATAGGCTCTGGTTCGACTAGCTCCCTGCCATGCAGGTAGCACTGACTCAGGGTTCCAGCATAGGTCAGCCAAGGGTGAACACCTGGATAAGCGGAAAGCTGGGAACAGGCTCTCTCCACCACACAAATGTCCCCCTGGACTCAGGCACGGGCACAACCCCCTCTCAGGGTTTGACCAAACCATTGAGTCCCTGGATTCCTTTAATGAAATACCCTTCACATAGGGATGGTGAGAGCTTTCTCCCATCCCTATCACCTGAACCAGAGCCTATCCACAACCTTACAAGTTGTGACGATTTGCTACGTGGCAGGCGAAACCCAAATGGCAACAGCCAATTAGCCAAGTGGGGGAAATTCCTGCTGTGGCCCTGTCCCAATGACACACGACGGCATATCAAGGTCAAGTGCAAAGCCCTAAAAGTAGGGAGAGGTGGGTGGGTGTTCTGAATGCATGCACCAAAAGAGGAAGCTCTGGGTCACGTGAATAGGTATATATAGGTCCCTTGATCCATTTAGCCTGCCTCCCATTGGCCAGATTGCAACCAGCTTTGAGGCACCTACCAGTCAGGTGCTGTGGCTATCCAAACGTACCCACCCACAACACAGGGTGTCAGTTTTCCAGGTCTCCCTGCAATACATGCCCTCTTTAAGGGAGGACCCGATTTTTCACCATGTAATTTGGCCTAAAACGGTGCACATTAAATACAGGATATCCCCTTATAATTGCTATAGCAATTATATGAGAGGATTCGGCAAGAATACCTTTCAGGTCTCTTACAACTCTATTATTATCTGCAGTTGCTCCCAGTCTGTGGAATGCTCTCCCCAGGGAAGTTTGCTTGACACCTGCATTATACATCTTTAGGCACAGGGCAAAAATGTTCCTTTTTAACCAGGCCTTTGGTTGATCTGATTTACATCCTATGCCCTTTTAAAATGTGGGGGTTGGGGGTTGGGAGGGGACTATTGGGTTGCTGTTTTTATTTTTATTAGGTATTTTGTGGTTTTATATCTTGATTTTATTCTGTGAACCGCCCTGAGACCCCCAGGTACACGGCGGTATATAAATTCAATAATAATAATGATAATGATAATAATGATAATAATATTCTCTGGGTACCATTGTCTGGTGAAGCATTAAGATCAAGTAATGGAAGCTGGTTAGATTTGCCATGGCCTAATGATTATTGCTTTCTTGCAATATAGAGGTGAGCTGTTTCATTGGTGCCATGACCGTTGTGGAATGATCTCCCTGCTGAAATATGAGAGACCCCATCAGTAACGGCACATTAATAGTTAAATCAGTATAAAATAACCCTACAGTTAGATGCTTAGAGGCTTACCAATGGACTTGGAAGTCCCACTCTTTTCATTCAATCTCATCGGGAGATAAAGCTGTCTGTCTGCTCTTTAGTTAGTGATCTCTAAGGAGCAGACAGAGTCCTTTATCTTTTTGCACGAAGCACCACTGGTGCTAAGATTGGAGATATAGCCTGCCTATTCTTTAAGATAATGGGACGCAGGTGGAGGTGTGGTCTAAACCACAGAGCCTAGGGCTTGCTGATCAGAAGGCTGGCGGTTCGAATCCCCACAACGGGGTGAGCCCCTGTTGTTCGGTCCCAGCTCCTGCCCACCTAGCAGTTTGAAAGCATGCCATGTGCAAATAGATAAATAGGTACTGCTCCGGCGGGAAGGTAAACGGCGTTTCCGTGCACTACTCTGGTTTGCCAGAAGTGGCTTAGTCATGCTGGCCAGAAGAGGAGGAGGAAGAGGAGTTTGGATTTGATATCCTGCTTTATCACTAGGCTAAGGAGTCTCAAAGTGGCTAACATTCTCCTTTCCCTTCCTCCCCCACAAAAAACACTCTGTAAGATGAGTGGGGCTGAGAGACTTCAAAGAAGTGTGACTAGCCCAAGGTCACCCAGCAGCTGCATGTGGAGGAGCGGAGACACGAACCCTGTTCACCAGATTACAAGTCCACCGCTCTTAACCACTACACCGCAATCACAGAACCTCCAAATGTCCCTATTTTCCAGGGACAATCCTGGATTTACGGAAGCTGTCCCAGTTTCTGATTTGATCCTGGAATGTCCCGCTTTTCCTTAGGACGTTCTTATTTTCACCAAACAAAGGTTGGAGGGTATTGTAGAACATCCCTATTTTCTTTGGAGAAATGTTGGAGGGTATGAAGTTAAGCGACCCCTGAGCCAAGGAGATAAGTACCTATGCAACCTTTAGAAGATATCTGAAGGTAGCCCTGTATAGAGAAGATTTTCAATGTTTACTGTTTTATTATGTTTTTATATATGTTGAAAGCTGCCTATAGTAGCTGAAACAATCTAGTAAGATTATTATTATTATTATTATGGAATAGAATGACCCTATTTTCATCAGAGAAATGTTGAAGAGTATATAACCACGCATCCTAGCATTGGCTGTGTGAAGATTGATCCTCCAAATCTCCTGCTGGCAACTCAATATCAGTCTGGCTGTACCATCAGAAACTCCAAAATAAAAGCTGCGTACATGTACATCTCCAAGCTTGTCATCTCCTCTTGCTCGAGAACAAGTGGCCATGAGATGAGATCAGTCTCATGACTAGGTTATATAAATGTGAAATATAAGCAACATGTGATCTTGAATGCCGGCTCCACTGGAATTCATGTAAAGCATCTCACACTTCACTCACCAGAAGCAGAATGTTGATGCTGCACAGACATGAGAAATATTGTTAACAAGTGAAAGCCCATAGACTCGGCTAAGGAAAATAGCTCCGTTCAAAGAGCACAATGTGCTCAGAACAGAATTCTGCATTTGGCCAATTGTAACAGCATTTAGATACATATTCAAAGCCAATAAGGGCCACTGAGCCAGTACCTAGATATGGAATCCTCCATCCTTAGCACTCTTTTGAGACATATTTTAAAGCAGTCACCTGTATCATATTTACTTATCATTTATTATTTCAACACTTGCCCTGTCTTTGTGCACAAAACACCCACTGCAACCAAGAACAATAAAACATGAAATTGCAATATAATTTTAAAACATTAAAAAAGAGAGAACATTGGATATTTGTGCATCTGAGAAATCCATCCGAGGTGATACATTTGAAGACCAAATTACAATCCAGCAATAGCAGGAATAGGAAAGGATTACATCACAGAAAACTTTCCTGAATTTTATGCTGACTCATGGTTGCACAGCCAAACACTAAGAAAGAGGATGTGGGGACTTTTTACCTGCAGAAACAAGAATGTTGCTTGATCAGTGCTATAGAAAAGGAATTAAAGTGCAACTAGGGGAATTACCAAAAACTCTACACCGTATAATTAAAGTATAAGGGTTTGAATTGCTTTTTGTTGCACAGTGTTGGGATTTTTGCAGAACTGGGGAGGAAAGGCAGTGAAAGGAAAAGGCTAATTGAACTCACAGAACATAATCCTAATCCTGCTAAAATCAGTGAAACTTGATATTTATGGGACTTTCTGTCAAATTGTACCCATAGAAGCTAATAGGGCTATAGCAGTTAGGGGGAGAGTGACAACTGAAGTTTCAATGTTTCAGACCTTTTGCAATACAGTACCTGCCTACAAAATCTGACATTTCAGTGCAAGTTTGAAAACTAGGCGTTTCCTCATGTTTTGGGTGGGGGGAGAGAGGGAATTTCTATGGCACTAAGTTAAGGTGGCCCCATATTTGCAGATCTGTTTGATAGCAAAAGAAAGGGGGGAAAGGTAAAGGACCCCTGACAGTTAAGTCCAGTCGTGAATGACTCTGGGGTTGCGGCGCTCATCTTGCTTTACAGGCCGAGGGAGCTGGCGTTTGTCTGCAGACAGTTTTTTCAGGTCATGCGGCCAGCATGACTAAACTGCCTCTGACAAAACTAGAGCAACACCTGGAAACGCCATTTATCTTCCCACTGGAGCAGTAACTATTGATCTACTTGCACTTTGATGTGCTTTCAAACTGCTAGGTTGGCAGGAGCAGGGACCGAGCAACGGGAGCTCACCCCGTCACGGGGATTCGAACCGCTGACCTTCCAATCAGCAAGCCCAAGGCTCAGTGGTTTACACCACAGTGCCACCCACATCCCTCTAGCAAAAGAAAAGCATTGAGTTTAACAGTTTCCTTGTCCGACCAGTTCCATCTTCCCACCTTAAACTGCAAAACTACAATCTGATTATAAACTAGCAATTTGAGGTTGGCATTTGAAGGGAAAGAGCAAAAGAGTCACACTTGTTACATAAGGTGGAATGAAACACAGTAGGTGGGTATGTGATGCTCAGGAATAAACAGGGTGGGGGGCTGCTCCTCAAGGACCTCCACAAACTAAACTGCCTTATGTCCTCTCCCCATTTGCTTTTCTCAAACGCCCATAGCTGATGCTTCCCAGTTCTGGAACAAGGCACCAGTTATGCCCCTGCACCAAAGAGGCAGGCCTTGGAGATTATTCCCAGATGCTTTAGCACTTGAGTGACAGATTATAAGACTGGGCTATAAATATAATGCTTAATACGTAAGCTTGGGTGGCTTGCTGATAACTCTTTGGAAAAGTCTCATTAGAGTAAATGCTGGCTCCATTTATGTAAGTATTTTTAAGAAGCAAACAAGCAGCCTGCTGTTTTACAAGTCAATTGATTCTATTAAAGTTTTATTCCCATTATAACTTCATCCACCTGAAGCTGCTGAACATCAAGACAGGCTTTATTAATGACAGTAGTTGCAGTCATTGCTATTATTTGCACTTATATACTGCTGTGTGCTTTCAGGAAGCTATAAAAATATTGCCCAATTCAATGCAACGTAATGCCAGGATTATGCCACATTAAAACTGATTTTATTTTAATTTTTCTTTGTTCCCTATTCATATTTTTTGTAAGCTAACTTCATCCTTTACTGCTCTCATCGCTCCTCCCTCTGCTGTCTATCACACAGTCAAAATTATATTATAAACTCCTTGATTATTCAAACCAGTTCTGTGCCAAAATTACTGCTTTGGGGGGTTTTTTTTGTGTGTGTGTGTGCTTTTCTGTGCATTCTCCCATCAGTTAAAGAGAAAAGAAACTGCATTTGAAAATTATTAAAGGGGAGAGGAAATCTCAGTGAAATTCTCAGGTGGGCTACAGGGTTTTGGTTGTGTTCGTCTTATTTTGGGAGTGTTTGTGAGTGTCCTTTCTTTCATTCTAGAAACCATCAGGGAAGTATGACATAAGGAAACTCCTCCCATGGGTCTTTTTTTCAGAATTGGAGGTGCAGCTGACCAGGGAGGTGAGCAATGCTTAATGGGCAGAAAAACCAGAAGACATATTGCAGCACTGAACTAATTAAAAGAATGACATCTGCACCTGACTCTTTTGCATTGACTTTGAAGTAATGGATTTTGCATGCATGACCCACAAGGAAGAGAATTAGTGAGAATACAGAGGCTCTCTCTCTCTTTTGCAACCTTGCAGATACAGTGGTACCTTAGTTTATGAACTTAATCCATTCTGGGAGTCCATTCTTAAATCAAAGCATGCTTTCCCATAGCAGCAGGGGGACTCAATTTACAAATGGAACACACTCAACAGGAAGCAGAACATGTTCTGCTTCCAAGGCAAAGTTCACAAACCAAAACACCTACTTCCGGGTTTGCAGCGTTCTTAATCCAAGTTGTTCATAAACTAAGCTGTTCTCAAACCAAGGTACTACTGTACAAAGAAAGAACAGAAGAGGTTGAATCCAGGGTGGTGTGCATTTTATTAATACCATTCACACACAAAACTGGAAGACCTTTTCCGACATGCCTGGCACGGCTGCAACAGTTTGATGAGGCAATTATAAGTGGCTACAAAGTTAAATTTGGAATTGTGATTTCATATTATTATCAGTGTCGCGGTGGCAGCTACTCCTTTCAACTGAGATTTCAGGTTTCTGACACCCTAGAGCAGAACATCGTATTCTCAAAGGCACTGAAAAACTTATCCACATGCTAGGGTTGACCCTGATCATTGTTTCCTAGGGAGTTTGCCTGGCCTTGCCATTTACCCATCTTAACAGTTTTAAAACAAAGCATACAGAGAGATGGCTGGAAGGCAGAGGAGGCTAGAGATGTATTGTGCCTACTGTTGCAGTGAATGAATAAATTCCAGGTGTTTGATGATATGCAAGCAGTGGTCTTACCTAGACAGATGATTTATAAGGCACAGGGGGGGCAGCCAAACGACAGCAATGTTGTCCTAGTTACACTCTGAGGTTGCCGATTTGGTGAATATGAAAGTTAAAGACACTCCTGCCCCAGTTTCAAGGGAATCCTACATTTCTCAGACGTTTTGGGCACTTTGGAAAATATTCACTTCTTAGGTCTTGCTCCTCCAAATACAAGGCGCAGGTGGAAAAGTTAATTAAGAATAACAAAGTCCACCTTTGCCAGAAGTGATGACAGATCTGTTTCTTTAGCTGGTTTGGTACATGTTTTCTTTGGGAAACAAGAGCCATTGAACAGATTTGTGTTACAAGAGTAACTTTCCTTTATAATTAATTAATTGATGACTTAGTTAATCCATTCTGTGCGATACAGTCACTTTGACAGCAAGCATTACAATCCCTTTGTCAGGTTGTTAGTGACCGACCACTGACTAAATGCATGACTCGGTTGGTTGTTTTTTTCTGTTTGAGAAAATAGGCCACAGAAAGGAACCCCGAAGTGCAAAGGAAATAAAATGTTTTGCTTTCTTTATGCAATCTTTAAATTCTTCCATCGCCAGAGGTCTTCCTGCAAATCAGCTGTGTCTTTATTAAAGCGCAAAATAAAAGTGGGACAAAGTCATTACCAAATGTATTCGGAGTAAACTCAGGGCCCATGGGATAAGAGGACAGGACCTTTTGTGGACTGGTATCTGAATAAAGAACAGGAAGCAGGGGTCAGGGTTACATGGACAGGGAAGTAAGCACCAGGGATCCCCAAGGATCTGCATTAGTATTCAAGCACAAAGAAAGTGAGCAGTTAGGTAGTCATGTTTTTTGGGTTGATAAAAACCCAAGCAGATAGCAGAGAGCTCCAAAAGGATTTGAGGGTGTGGGTGGAAAACAACCTGGCAAATGAGGTCCGCTGCAAATGTAAAGTGGAGCGTATTAGGGCAAACCCTCCTGACTTCCAGCCTTAGGAATTATAGGGTGTTTTCTAGTAATGTCAAAACGAAAAAGAGATTTTGGGAGTAGCCATGGATGGCTCAACTACAATATTGTCAATGTACCGTGGCATTGAAAGAGGTTAGTGATGACAAGCAAAGGGACTGGAAATAATGTAGACTTGATCAAAATGCCTTTGCACTTATATAGCAGTAGGCCTCAATGGTCCAAGGTACCTCATAAAGCAGTGGGCTCATTGTCAAATCTTTTATTCCCATCTGCCCAGTGGAGGGGGACTACTTTGCATTAAACAGCATATAGCTCTATTTTGGGAACACAGCAAACTCCCAGTGCACTTATGGATTTTCAGTGTCTCTGTTGCATTTAAAAGCTGCGAAAAGGTCCATCAGAACGATGTTGTTCAAGCACACCTCCTTCTGAGAACACAATCGATTTCTCATTTTGTACTTGGTTCCATCCAAAATGAAAACTCTTCCCGGTCTAAAATCCATTTCCTTCCACTAAGGCTGCATCTTATGCAAACTTTCCTGTGCTCAGATATAGCAGGGCTTTCTTCTGTTGCAAAGTATTGCACCGCAAGTTTCTGATATCACTAAGCCAGAGGTTTTCAACCTTTTTGACTCCACGGCTCCCTTGATCAACTACATTCTTTCTGCGGCACCCCTGTGGGGCTCAGGAGCCCAGTTATGTCACCCCTTGCCTGCAGAGCTGGCAGCCCCTCACCCTTTTTCAAACACCCTCCCTTGTGGAGTGTTGCCTCAGGCACTTCTCGTATTCCCTCTACAGTGGTACCTGGGGTTACAGACGCTTCAGGTTAAAGACTCCGCTAACCCAGAAACAGTACCTCGGGTTAAGAACTTTGCTTCAGAATGAGAACAGAAATGGCGCATCGGCGGCGCGGCAGCAGCAGGAGGCCCCATTAGCTAAAGTGGTGCTTCAGATTAAGAACAGTTTCAGGTTAAGAACAGACCTTCAGAATGAATTAAGTGCTTAACCCGCGGTACCACTGTACTTGGGAGTCCTCCAGGCAGCTGCTGCCCCTGATCTCTGAGCTGTCCCCACCCCACCCCAAAGAGAAGCGCCTCTCTGAGGCACCATTCATCTGGGGAGGTTGCAGTCAGGGCTGCTGCAACAAACAGGTGTGCAAGCCTTTGGGAGGCAAAGACAAGAGAGGACATCAGAGAGAAAGGGGAAGAAAGAGGGACAGAGGACAATGTTGCCCGCAGCACACCTGACCATCATTCAAGGCACCCCAGGGTGCCATGGCACACTGGCTGAAAACCACTGCACTAAGTTTCCAAAGTTTAACTATAACTAGACTAAAGTAGAAGCAAATTGGAATGGGTAAAATCATGCAAAAAAATGACAAAGATGACCAGAAATATTCCCCATCCCTGACTAGCAAATCCTTTAAAGGTAAAGGGACCCCTGACCATTAGGTCCAGTCGTGGCCGACTCTGGGGTTGCGGCGTTCATCTCGCTTTATTGGCCGAGGGAGACGGCGTACAGCTTCCGGGTCATGTGGCCAGCATGACTAAGCCACTTCTGGTGAACCAGAGCAGTGCATGGAAATGCCGTTTATGTTCCCACCAGAGCAGTACCTATTTATCTACTTGCACTTTGACATGCTTTCAAACTCCTAGGTTGGCAGGAGCAGGGACTGAGCAACGGGAGCTCATCCCATCACGGAGATTCGAACCACCAACCTTCTGAAATAACATTCGTACAGGGCTTGAAGGCTCTATGGTTTAACCCACAGCACCACCCGCGTCCCTTTTAGCACATCCTTTAGAATGAAATAAAAATCATGTCCAAACAGGAGCAGATAGGAAACCAGGAAAAGCACAGAAATGCGGAAGGCAGAGATATTGCAAACATCTCTTCCCTGCCCCCCTTAGTGCAGGGACATTTGCAGTGAAAATAAAAAAATTGGTGCCACATTAGTGTGGTTATGTCAGATCTCTCAAGTGAGGGATCCTGGTCCAGAAATAATTCACATTTACTGGATTATTCATGACATCTTAGTGGGTGTTCAAAGCATCTGGCTTCTTCTCGTTTAACAAATATGAATTTTACATCACGTTTCATTCATTTAAATCACATTTTAATATTGAGTGTTGACATATTAATTTAGAACGATAAGGAAATAGTCGTTTGTATTGGGTAAAATAAGTTCCATGCGTGGTGTGTGGTTTTTTCATGCTTAATCGGTTCATATCTTGCCTGCACAAAAGATAACACAAATGAAGTGTGTATCTCCTTTCTTTCCAACTGTGACTGACCTATATTAACCTGGCTATTTAATACCACAGGTTTCACCTTTCCAACACAAAAGGGACAGAGGTTGGCTCCCTCGCCCCACTTTCCTATTCTCCCTCCTAGCTCTGTGTTGTTTGCAAGAATGGAACACACCATTGTTTTCCACTAATGATGCCTCTCCGAGCTGATCAGGTTAACGGTGGGTAGCAGCTGGAGTTTAATTTGTGAGTGTGCAAATGAAAATTATACACTTACTGAATTACTGCATCTCACCAAGAGGTTGGCGCACTGCCGGCTTCGCTTCAAAAAAAGAAATAACATTCGTACAGGGCTTGAAGGAATTATTGGAAGCATGCTAAATTTTGTTACCATAGTGGCATTTGTTCTGAATAAGTTGGTGTCAAAGGGAGAGAATTACTTAGACATTCAAGTGCTTAATTTGGGGAGTTTATCACTCATCTCCCCCTACAATAAATTAATGAATGTAGATCTAAATATAATTCCCATTGCCATATCACAGAGAATATCCCCATGGTACTAATAAGCCCCTGGCCAACCCGAGACACTTTTCTGCCTAAGGCAAAGGACAAAATAGAGACGCCACCCCACAATTCCATGACAGGACTTGTTGTTTAGTCATTTAGTTGTGTCCGACTCTTCGTGACCCCATGCACCAGAGCACACCAGGCACTCCTGTCTTCCACAGCCTCCCTCAGTTTGGTCAAACTCATGTTCGTAGCTTCTATAACTCTGTCCCACCATCTCGTCCTCTGTCATCCCCTTCTCCTTGTGCCCTCAATCTTTCCCAATATCAGGGTCTTTTCCAGGGAGTCTTCTCTTCTCATGAGGTGGCTAAAGTACTGGAGCCTCAGCTTCAGGATCTGTCCTTCCAGTGAGCACTCAGGGCTGATTTCCTTCAGAATGGATAGTTTTGAACTTCTTGCAGTCCATGGGACTCTCAAGAGTCTCCTCCAGCATCATAATTCAAAAGCATCAATTCTTTGGCGATCAGCCTTCTTTATGGTCCAGCTCTCACTTCCATACATCACTACTGGGAACACCATAGCTTTAACTATATGGACCTTTGTCGGCAAGGTGGTGTCTCTGCTTTTTAAAATGCTGTCTAGGTTTGTCATTGCTTTTCTCCCAAGAAGCAGGCGTCTTTTAATTTCATGCTGTCACCATCTGCAGTGATCATGGAAAAAGAACCGGCAAGCCACTCCAGTATCCCTGCCAAGAAAACTCCATGGACAATAACAACAGGAATATAAAAGTTATGACGCTGGAAGATGAGCCCCTCAGGTCAGAAGGTGTCCAACATGCTACTGAGGAAGAGCGGAGGACAAGTACAAGTAGATTCAGAGCTGATGAAGCAGGTGGGACAAAGCCCAGTGGTAGGGCCTGCTCTGGTTAAGCCAAAGAGGAGGGCTGTGAAAGTCAAACTAAGAGGAGACCTATGCTTCAGGTTTCACCTGAATCTCCCTAGAATATGAACCATTTTTAGGCCTGCATTAGAGATGACACATGCTCACGGTCTAGGACCCTTGTACCTACAGGACCTCCTCTCCCGGTATGCCCCACGGAGGACCTTAAGGTCCCTAAATAGCAACACCCTAGAGGTCCCGGGCCCTAAGGAAGTCAGATTAGCCTCAAGCAGAGCCAGGGCCTTTTCAACACTGGCTCCGGCCTGGTGGAAGGCTCTGTCTCATGAGACCAGGGCCCTGCGGGATCTGATTTCTTTCCGCAGGGCCTGTAAGACAGAATTGTTCTGCCTGGCCTTTGGCTTAGAATCAATTTGATTCCCTCCCCCTCTTTCTTTTTTCCTTCTCCTCCTGTGAAGAGACTGCATCTTAATGTTGTATTTTAATCTTGTTTTTTAAGTTGTATTTTAATCAACTTGTTTTTATTATTGGTTGTTAGCTGCCCTGAGCCCGGTCTTGGCTGGGGAGGGCGGGGTATAAATAAAAAAAATTCTTTCTATTATTATTGCATACATTCTAGGGCTGACTGAATAGTCAAAAGAGCAGCATAATTTAAGAGCATATAAAGTAGTAGTGGGACTTCTTTTTTTATCACAAGAAGAACATCAGTGATAACAGGACAAGATGGTCACCTCCTCTGCAGACACCATTCACATATTTGGAAAAGGGGGATTTGCCACTTTAGAAAGCACACCCAGTGTATCTATTTGTTTAACTGTTTGCATTCCACAGGGACCTAAGAGTTGATGAAAAGTTCTCCGGATAAATAGCAACCTGGGAATGTTTTCCCTCCTAGCCTCCTTAAATGGGCAGCTCGGTGTGGCACATTCCAGCATTTTCCCTTCTCGTTTGAATATTTTAGATATTGATTTGTTATTTCTCACCCTAAATAAATAAATATCTCTGCAAATCAATGAACCAGTGTAACCTTGCAGACCAACAGTAAATGATGGCTGACAGCTTGCATTTTTAAAAAAGATGGCAACTGACCTAGTTTCCTCAGGGATATCGATATAAACATAACATTCTGCCAGCTCCCATCTCACATTTGTCAAATTTTCAGATCAAATTTTTGAGAAAAACAACAACCGAGGGCTGCTGGTTAGAGGTGAGATCCAGATTTATTTGCTTCTAACATATCCAAAACTCTATCATCATCCAGTTCTATAATTACTTGGTCTTCTTCAGAGGTGCAAAGAAAACCATTTTCTCCTGCTAAGAATAAAAGGCCACTGATTGAAAAGAAAACTGCCGCATTTCAGAAATTCACTCTGTTTCCAACAGATGCAACAGGTTGCAGTTATGTCAAATATCTTCCAGAAGCACTTCCTTCTTTCTGCTGGCATTTGCCTTAATTTCTTCCAGCATGTTGGGATCCTACAGTATATCATGAGTATGACAAGAGTACAAGTTTTTCTGTCACATCTGTGATGGGCAAAGAAAAGGCAGAAAGGCAGGCATAGGATAAAATAATGTAAATGGGCAGTTGCCGTCCCAGGGATGGCTGCGTTGGACACACAGGGTGCAAATGGTGACGATTCCATTCCATATGAGGAAAGAAAAAAGACAGAACAAATCTGTGGGGAAAATATATTGCATTGCCTCCAGTGTCAGAGACTTCCAATAGGCAACTGGTTGGCCACTGTGAGAACAGAATGATGGACTAGATGGGTCCCTGGTCTGATCCAACAGTTCTTATGTTCTTAAGAGCTGCATCTCCAAATTCTGGTTCCTGAGGGAGCAGGTGTTGGGTGAGTAATGGTGCACTCAGGTCCTCCTTGAGGGCTTCCCATAGACATCTGGCTCACCATTGTGAGAATGTTGACCTACAGAGACCTTTGTTCTAATTCCTGCTAGCTAGGGATGGTCCTGTGTCAGACTCGAGGGATTCTCTCCTCCCTCAGCAGCCTCTAAGATCAAAGAAGGAACAAGAAAGTTTGTATTTATGGTTTTATTCAGTAACTGTGGAGCAGAACAAAGAATCTGGTCCTGGACGCCATTAGGACGTTGCTCACTCTGAGCACCTCCCTTTCCTTCTCCAACAACAAACTGTGAATCTGTGGGACGCCACAGGGTTCAAACTCTGTTTTTTGTTTGTTTGTTTGTTTGTTTGTTTGTTTTTAAATAATGTTTATTAAAGTTTCAAAGGGGGGGAAAATCACATTAATAAAAAAAAATTAACAATAAAAAGGAAAAATACAAAGTAGGAAAAAAAGAAAAAACAGTTAAAAACAATTCCATCTTTTCCTCACTTCTTTCACATTTACTTGTTTCCCGGACCTCCTCATACCTCCCTCTTTTGTATTCCAATTAAATTTGTTAATCCAACAATTCCTTTCCCTCCTTTTTAATCCTAATCCTTAGTCCTGATATATTGTAACGTTAGATTTTTACATATTAAAAACCAATTTTTCCATATTATTTTGTACCTATATAGCTAGAAACCACTTAACTTCAATCCAACATCATTCTAACATTCATTAATTTTACAATATTTCTGTAAGTAGTCTTTAAATTTCTTCCAATCTTCTTCCACCGACTCTTCTCCCTGGTCTCGGATTCTGCCAGTCATTTCCGCCAATTCCATGTAGTTCAAACTCTGCAACGTCCGCCAATTCCACAGGGTTCAAACTCTGCAACGTCCGTTGTTCTTGAATTCTAAGTGATCAACGAGTCCTTGGAGAAGGAGGAGTTCCCACACTCTCTAACAAAGTGTCTGCTGGCTGCTCTCCAACTTCTCCCCTTTCTCCCACTATCTGGTAACTTGGCAGGTCTTCCTGCAGCTGTAAATCAACCCTGTTTTCTTCTCCTCTTGAAACTGTTGAAGAAAGGGGAAGGAGAATCTTCCCACTCCCACTCCTCTTCCAAAAGGAGCTGAGGGGATGGAGGGGGCAATTCCCAGCCCTCCTCTTCAGTCCATTCCCTGACTTTCTGCTAGCTAGAGATGATGGGAGTTGTAGTCGAAAAACAGCTGGAGAGCCAAGTTTGGGAAACTCTGGAATCCATCAGGGCTCCTCCCATGTTGTTCAATTTATGGTGGTTCCATTGCTGAACCTCTCTGCGAGGTACGGAAGGCTAAGAAGTAGGGATTGGTTCAAGGTCACATTGAGCTTCATGGCAATCGTGATTTGAATCCTGGTCTCTCTGGACATTGCCCAACACTCCAACCCACTACATGGTGCTGGCTCTCTGCCAGAATATCTTGATTTACATCTTAAAAACTGATGTCCCAATGAAGGTGTGTGTTTTATGTGTACAACTTCATCACGCATGAGCTAGTCCAGATAATAAGAAGATGGGGACCCTGATTGTTTCCTATACTAAGGCCATAGGTTTAAATTCAAGCACTTTGATCTAATTTGTGCAAATGGCCACCCCTCTCTTAGTGTAATGTAAATTCAATGAAATAAACAGGTCTTCCAGATTAATGCATAAAACATCTTAGAAGCCACAAACCACCTTACTAATAGCTGACTAGGACATTTTTTCTGTGTGTACATTTTGGAGATTCGTGTTTCTAGTGTAGATTCAGAAATGCTAAGCTTCTTTATAATCAGAAATGTGGTGGAATGTGACCAATACAAGATCCTTTCCTTACAGAATGCTGTGCATCTGTGGCCAGCCTTGCCTGATGTACAAAGTACTCAGATTCTAAAGCACACAGTGTGACCGAAGGCAGCAAATGGGATCCCCAAGGGGTTAATTTGTTCATATATCTTTTCCTCTAAGGCCACAGATCTTCTTTTTAACAAGTGAAAGACAAATATTCCCAGAGAGAGGCAGAGAAGAGGCACACATAATGTGGCCAAGCAGAGGGCTTTTTTTCATCTAAGGTTTTGGGTGTGTTAAAAGGAAAAGGGAAGGGGGTATAGGAAAGAAAAAATGAGATGTTGCTATGCAGACTGCATCTCTCCAATGGTGCACTTAGATGAGGTCTATGCCGTGTGCCATCCTCAACTTTGCAGGCAGTTGTTAGAAGCAACACTCATTCAAAATGGGGGGGGGGGGAGGAAATCAAGTGGGAGGAAATGGTGCTTGGTGCTTCAAGGCGTGTTTTATTTTTATTTTTAAAAAAATGGCTTGTTTTCTAGAATGGTACACCAATTTCCCAAAGTCAGAAGAGGAAGGCTTGTTTTTCTACACTGATGATCTCACCTGCAAAACATTGTGTTCCATCATGTATGCATGTATGTATTTCAGTCAATCGATAAGGTGTTCCGTTATGGCAGCAGAAGTAGTTCGCACTTACAAACTCATCAGTTATCCAGAAGAGCTTTTGCAGCCATTCTCTGCTGGTTTCCTCAATGCACACAAACCATGGACAGTAATGCAAACTTGCATACTAGTACCCATAGTGGAAGCCCACTGAGTGCTGCTTTTGCACAAACCAGGTTAAAATGATTGGAGGACGTATTAACTGAAACATTGTGGCTGCGATCCAGTCTGCTGCAATGAATGAGAGTAAGCCATGACTAACTGTGCACTGGATTGCAACCTGTTTGATTACATAATCAACCCTTCCGTTCCTTAATGGGTAGTACCTGAACCAAAATGCAATAATAATAATAATAATAATAAAATAATAATAATAATAATAATAATAATAATAATAATAATAATAATAATAATAATAATAATAATATCTTTATTGTCATTGCCCCCTTCGGGGACAACGAAATTACAACGAAATAATGGCAAGTATTGAGAAAAAAGAACCAATGAAATCACCAAACTGAAAATGCTTGCTCTAGAATATGAACTTGTCACACTCATAAAACATGAGGTCCAGCACTGAGGACCTTCTGTCAGTTCCCTCACCACAAGAAGTGAGGTTACAGGGAACCAGGCAGAGGGCCTTCTCAGTAGTGGTGCCCACCCTGTGGAACACCCTCCCATCAGATGTCAAGGAGATAAACAACTATCTGAATTTTAGAAGACATCTGAAGGCAGTCCTGTTTAGGGAAGTTTTGAATGACTGATGTTTTAATGTATTTTTAACATCTTGTCGGAAGCCGCCCAGAGCGGCTGGGGAAACCCAACCAGGTGGGCGGGGTAGAAATAATAAATGATGATGATGATGACGATGACGACAACGACTTATCTTGAATTGGGCGATTTCTGTCACAAATTTTTGTATATAAATTTTCCCTCGGCTCTTTTTGCTTGCCTATGCATGGATAGTTGGCCCTGGTGAATATTTGACGTTTTCTCCCCTTATGGCTTTAATCTATAGGCTACCACTAAAACAAGACTGCATTTTAAGCTGCATTTTAAACTGTATTGTAACTTATATTTAAATCAACTGGTGTTTTTTTTTGCTTTTTGGTTTTGTTTGTTTGGT